TTCACTAAAGACAACAACAAGACAAAGTGTCTACTATCTCTATTCTATAGTGAATACTATTCACTATTATACTAGAAATCTTAATTAGAGCAATAAGACAACCGAAGGAGATCAAGGGGATACAAACTGGAAAAAAAAAGTCAAGGCATCTTTATTTTCAGCTTAATATTGGGACACAAAAACCCTAGGATAGCTAAAACACTCCTGTATAACAAAAGAACCACTAGAAGTAACACCATAACACATCTTAATATAATAATAAAACTTGCTGGTATTGGCATAATAAACACAGACACTGATCAATGGAATTGAGTTAAAATCACAGATATAAATCCACACACCTGTAGACACCTGCATTTTGATAAAGCCAGAAATACACTCTGAAAAAAAAAATAGCATCTTCAACAAATGCTGCTGGTCAAACAGGATGGATACATGTAGAAGAATGAAAATATATCCGTGTTTATCACCTTGCACAAAATTCAATTCCAAATGGATACATGACCTCAACATAAAACCAGATACACTGAACCTGATAAAAGAGAAAGTAGAGAATAGACTTGAACTTATTGGCACAAGAAAAGGCTTTCTGAACAGAACACTGTTAGTGTAAGCACTGAGAAAAATAATTAATAAATGAGATCTCATGAAATTGAAATTTTTTTGCACTGCAAAGAATACTATCATTTGAACAAAGAGACAGAATGAAAAAAAATTTTACCTACTGCATATACAGTAGAGGGATGACTTGTAAGTATATAAAGAATTCAAATGACTCAATAAAAATTGGGTACAGACATAAACAGATAATTCTTAAAAGAGAAAAAACTTTGATAACTGAAAAGCACTTAAAGAGATGTTCAATATCTCTGCCATCAGGTAAATGCGTATTTCAACTACTTTGAGAAATTTTATCTTACACCTGTCAGAGTGGTCAAGATCAATAAATAAATAAATAACAATCCATGCTGTTGAGGATATGGAATAAAGGGAACACTCATCTGCTGATGATCAAAATACAATCTTGTATAGCCACTATGAAAATCAGGGCTTCTGTTCCTCATGATGCTGTGGACTGGTCTACCTGAAGATCCAGCTACACTGCTCTTGGGTCTATATATCACTTCAGAACTCTTGACTCAACTATGTTTACTGATGCTCTATTCATAATAGCCAGAAACTGGAAACAACCTAGATGCCCATCAACAGATGAATGGATAAAGTAAATGTGATAATTTTACCCAATGGAGTGTACCCAGCAATTAAATAAAAAATAAAATCATGATCCAGACTCAGAAAGAAAAATATGCCATATGTTCAATTATAAGCGGATGTTAATTGTTAAGTCTTTGATAACAAGCTACAATCTGTACAACCACAAAGGTTAGGTGCTGAGTGAGGGACTGGCAGGAGTGATGGATCTCTCCTTTGGAAGGAGAAATCACATAGATAATTATGAGTGGATTGCATCTTAGGGACATCCGGAATTGAAGGATAAAACGGGGAGGGGGAGGAAAGAGAGGGATGAGGATGAGAACAGAGATATGGGTAGGGGCAGCTAAAACTAAGTGTCATAAAGGAGTTATAATGGAACTCAATCACAGTAAAGTTTCCTGAACTATACATTTATGAAGGTGTTCTAAATGAAATCTCCAAATAGTGGGGGAGACCGGGCCCTGACTGGACACCTTTCTTCTCCAAATGAGCTTTCTTGTAAAAAATGAACCGAAAGGTATCTCTGGAGATTCTTATCTAACGTTGAGCCAGGGATTCTTTTTTTTTTTTAAACTGTGTAAGTCTTTTGTATATACATTTTTGCTTCCAGTTTTGTGTTTTCATGGGATCCCTATATGTCTAAGTGTGTGTGACCCTGTGTCTATATGTATTTCTTGTGCTTTTTCTTTGGCTCTTTTCTTTTTTCTTTTTTTTTTTTTTGTTTTGTTTTGTTTTCTCTTAACTTGTTTGTTTTTGTTTTATCTTATTGTACTTTACTTAATTTTATTATTTTCCCTTAGATGCTATTTGTTTTCTAAGGAGAGACAGAGAGGGCATAGATCTGGATGAGGGTTGTGGGGAGGAACATGGAGGAATTGAGGGAGGGGACACTGTAATCAGAATTTATTGTATAAAAAATCTATTTTAAATAAAAGAAAATATATCTTCAACAGCAAGAAACACACAACTTGTTGCTTACCCTACCAACAATGTCTATTTTATTTGACACATCACAGGGGGATCTTTTTATACTTGTAGGTCTCTGCAGTGTTCAACTTGATCTTTAAAAACAACAGAATTTGAGTAAAAGCCAATAAAACAAAAGCATTATAAATACTCTATTGTCCAGCATATATGATAGGAATGCCAATAAACAAAACTGTATTTTATGAGAATTCAGGACCGGATACTAATCTGTGAGTTTTAATTTAACCCTGATGCCATTTGGATATCTGTGGAGTTAGTAGTGGAACATAACTGTACACCTGTACATTTTAGGAGATGAAATTAAAGTCTTAATGCCTTCACATTAAATGCTTTGCATATAATTTCCGTGATGCTTTACATAAAAACCAAAGCTATCTGAACTCATTACCACACATACTACTGTTTAATCTTTCACCCATTCCATCCCTTGGCTAACACACTGACCCATATTTCTGCTGATAAAAGTTTACCCTGACCATATAACAAGTACATTTCTGTATGTGTTTGTTCTCTAAACTTCTACAGCCATCAAGTGAGAAGCAATGTTTCCCTCAGCTCTTGGCAGCTGCTGTTCTGTCTTTTGCGGGATGTCAATACAGACCAAGCTGTAAGCAAATGCTCTTGGTTGTAACAGATGGCTCTTCTTGGTCATGGTCTCTGCTCCTTCAGTGGGGAGAGAGCTCAAAGGCCACAAGGAAGAGAGAGGATGGGAACTCTGATAGATGGGCAATGTCAGAGGAGCATTCACTGAAAGGCTGACTGAAGAAAGAAACACAGAAGCCAAGACCACCAGCAATGAGAGGGCAGCCCTCCCTCAGGCGAGAGGCGGGGAACATGGAAGCCTGTGGGCTAGGAGCAGATGCTCTGTCTTCCCAGCCATCTCCCTTCCTGCTATTCTTGTTAGATACATTTGTGAAAGTGCCTTGGTAATGTACACCTTTTACAATCGCAATTCAGTACTAAATAATGGAGTAGTTTTGTTCAAAAGCAGTGTTTATTTTTTTATGAAGATAAGAGCCATTATTAAATTTCTATAGAAAATGCGGTCTGAGGAAAAAGCTGCATGTTACTGATACGATTAAAAAAATGTCATCAAAACCCTCCACTTATGAAAATGTTCTGCCCAATAAGAACATGTTTAGACTGGCTTTATTCCAGGTAAGTGAGCTATACAGAATTGTGTATTTATTAGTTTGCTTTGAAACGTAATTTGTACTGTGGTTTGTTTTTATTATTAGTCCTTTCATGGCAATCAAACAGATTTATTTGCTACATGTTGGATGTGGAATAGATAAGCAATAACCAAGGGAGATGGTTTAATAAAATATTCAAGAAAGGAAAGGCAGCCTTTGTGTATACATGTGTTTACAGTGGAGCTAGTAAATAAAAGGATAGCAAGGCTTTAACAGGTTATTGCAACCTGGAAGAGTTACTGAAAATTGGGTAAAGTACTTTATGTTTTTTTTTTTTTTTCACATCTATTTTGTGAGCTCTGCCCTATACAGTGAATGATGTAAAATATAGTTTGGTTTTGGTACAGGAAGCCATTGTTTCACAGGAAGCTTGCAAGTGGCCAGCCACGGAGGGGAAGTGGCTTCTGACTGTAGGCCTGACCTACTTTTCACTGTTCTCTGTCATGCTGGACAACTAACAATGCTGTATTTCATTCTAATGCTCGCTGAGTAGAAATTGATAGATAATTGCAGAGAACCTTTAGAAGACATGTGACAATAAGCACAGGTCTGCTGAGCACGGCAGTAACTTGGATCGGAGGGCATTGTGCATCATAGCGATGCAAGTGTTTTTGAGCCAATCATGTGACACTGCACTAATGAGGCCTGTGCACAGATCTCGTGTCAAACTGGTCTGTGCTCAGCACAGCACTGGAATCACAGAAGAAATCACAGAAGAAGATGTAGTTCCCTGGGAGCAGCCCAGGCAACCTGACTTCAGTGTTCCCTCTCAAGCATCTGGCTTTGGAAAGTGATGGACAACTTTCCACTTCTGGACTCAGTCTCTGTAGCATAGATATAGGGGAGCCACTGATGAATATGAACTCTCATTCCTAATAACCAATGCAAGAAGCTTTCCAGTGGGAGAACAGGACCAAATATTGGAGACTGAAAAGGTAGGAAACCTCACATCTAATTTCCACTGATTCAGAATACATATTCAGCATCTTAATTATAGGATTAGGAATTTACATCAATAAAAGTTAGTTATTTTGTTACTACATAAAAGCTTTTAGGCAAATATATTCATATATATATATATATATATACATATATATATATATTAAATGTGGATCTAATCAAAAACCATTTAACTCCCAGTTATGTCATTATTTGCTTATTTCTGACTTTCTGTAGCTCACATCTTCCGGTGAATGCCATGTTGAAAGGCTCAAGGGTAATGGTATGCTATTCCTGATAATACTTGATTTTTGGCAGATTTTAGAAAGAGAAAAAATGAATAATTCTGCTGCAACCTCTTGCTTGCCTCTTGAAAGACTTTCACACTCCCTGAACAACTGATTGAGAAGGGTGCTCAATGATTTAGTTTGCTTGACAAAATACAACTGTGTATGACTTTGATGTTGTTTTGGAGACAGATAATTACCATCCACATTTGTAGGTGTATAGTGAATCTCATGCAGAAAATACTTAAATACTTGCTCTTATCCCTGGAAACTTTATTGTCTTCAATATAATTAAGATATATACATAACAGAGTTGCATCTTTTGTTTAATGAACACATGCCTTCTTTAAGAAAGTCCTGATATATTTTGTGAAACATTTCAAAAGAAATTTATATTCTAAATTTCTTAAAGAGATGTTTTATATGTTTGACACATCTTTATTATAGCAAATTTTTTGAGTAATAATATAATCACTTGTCTCTGATGGACCTCAGTAAATATACTGAATAAAGCATTTCATCTATTTACACACATAGAAATAGACATGTGTCTGGGTATGCATACATATCTTCACATACTATTAATAAATGAACTCCTATATTTATGGATAGAGAAGTTGATGAAATATGCTTCTTCTTACCATGGCACTAACAAAGCGAGATATGCACCTGTGTTCGCTGCATTGTATCTGAGAATCAATTTTGGTTGCTTAGGGTGGGACAAGGGTCCCTTACCATGTCTTAATCTAAAGGTCTTTTCATGCTTCATGTAAAAAGGTGCACAGTGTCTTATCGAGGTGGTCTTGAGCTGCAGATACAGTCACACCGTTCATGGTGATCCAACTGGATATCTACGAGAGCCATATTCTTAGCTTTGCCCCTTCTCTTGAGATGGCCAGGCTCAAACTTTAATACCTAGAATAAGAAGCATATTTACTATTAGAAAGCCCTGGGGAGTGTTAATTCAACCAATGCCACCGATCTATTTCCCTTTTGATCACTACTGTGTGTGGCAATTTGAAAGAAAATGCCCTCCATTGGGAGGTGTGACTTGTGGGAGTACGGATGGCCTTGTTGAAGGAAGTGTGTCACTGTGGAGACAGGCTTTGAGGTCTGACGTGCTCAAGCTATGCCTAATATGGCATACAATTCACTTCCTGCTGCCCGAGGATCAAGATGTAGAGCACTTAGCTCCTTCTCCAGAACCATGCCTGCCTTTAAGCTGCCATGAAGATAAAGGACTAAACCTCTGAAACTGTAAGCTAGCCCAGATTAAATGTTATCCTTTAGAAGATTTGCTGTGGTCATGGTGTCTCTTCACAGCAGTAAAAACCCTAAGACAGAGCATAAGCCTTTAAAAGTCCAATGAATGAGATAAACTTGCTGTTGAAATAAACACATGAAGACATTTCTGAAAATAACCTTTGACCACATAACATGCAGGAATCTATGCCTCCCAGAATAATCTCCCTGCCTCACCTTCAGTAGGAAGATGTCTTCAGGTGTCTTAGCAGGTATTATTTATAGCCTCCTAAAGCTGTGCAAAGTACTATACAAAGAGATCATTGCTCTTTTGAGCAAAGCATGTTTTCTAAACAAATATAATACTAAGCATATTAACTCCCAGGACAGGATAAGGCTTGAGCATCTGCCAATACAATAAATGCTATACTGAAGTAAATCCCTTCCCCAAGAAGGCCATTAATGGCCACAAAATTAATTATTTGTGACTATATAATGCCTTTTACAATTCAAAGAACTCAGCTACAACAATACTTGCATGTCATCATTTTGTTACCATACTCAATAAATATATAGTGACTTTTAAAGTAAGTTTAGAATATTTTTTCTTCTTTTAAAAGTACTTATTGTTACTTTTATTTGTATGGTGTGTGTATATGTTTGTATTATGAGAGAGTGTATATGAGAGAAAGTGTGTGTGTGTGTATGTGTGTGTGTGTGTGTGTGTGTGTGTGTGTGTGTGAGAGAGAGAGAGAGAGAGAGAGAGAAAGTCAGTGGATGTCAGAAGACAATTTTGGGAGAGTAAGTTCCCTCCTACTGTGGGTTTTTTGGGGACTGAATCCTTTTGTCAGGCTTGCACAACAAATATTTTATCTGCTAAGCCATCTCTCTGGTCCCTAAAATAATTTTGCTAGTCATTAATTTAAAGAGACTCTATGCCTTCTTTTCTGCTGCAGGCTTCAGTGAGTCAAACACTGGCCCAGGGACATACACTTGGTAATATCTTACACTCATCTCTACAGCTAGTCAGCCCATTGCTTCTGTTCCTCATGTACCTAGGTTCCCACCAGCCTAGATAGTCTACTGGTTTCTTTCATCACCATGAAACCAACAAACAATTGTGCAGCATCTTGCAGTTTCCCAAATATCTATACAGGTTTTCCCCAGTTTTGGTCACTGTTTGTAACATGAAGTAGAAGAGGCATTGCTATGCATGTTTTACTGATTAGACACAAAAGGGTTGTAAGGGCAAGGAAGCCCCTCATCGACAGTCTTCTGGTGCTGTAGGCCCAGGACCAGGATCTTATCTCTTAGCTTCTGAATGCTGATGTGATGTCTCTGTGACATACCTACCATTTCCTTCTGCATCTGAAGCTTTGGAGCCAAGTGTGAAGTGCAGTGGGAGCTCCTTATGCTTTGTTTGATATACTTTGGTCCTCACTGGAGATTACATGGGGTAGGGGGAACTTACTTTAATAACTTTCCATGACATCTCTACAGTTCTATGCTATACATTGTATTACCCTCACAGTCAGTGCTGAAAGTGTTAACCAAACTCAAAGCATGTATTAAGAACAACTATGCTAAGACTCCTTAGCACTGAGCATCTGAGTCTACAGTCTCCTTTTATTTGACTGTAGAAATGCTAAGTGTTGAGTTCTCCAGCAAGGTGAATCATTGTTTTTATGTTCATTCCAGTGAGGTTCCTGGAGTTTGATTCAAAAGAATGATTCTAAAAAGAGAAGAATAAAGGATCATGCTTCAGTCAGTTCAAGTGACAGTTTTATAGATCATATATTTTTGCCTTATGATTCTACTGAAATTATGTATGCATAATCTGTATCACATAATTGTGCATAAATTTTTATGTTCTCTCTGTTAACTGAATTGTAAAAACAAGAATGCTAACCATTACCGCCAACATTAAGTATGGCCTAGATACCAGACCATGTTGTAAGTGGCTGTGCAAGTATAAAATTATTTGGACTTCATTAGATTACACATCTATTTTCCTAATTTAAGGCTCATATTGAGAGAGGGATTAAGTTACTTGTTCAAGATCACAGTGCTCATAAGTGGGACTGACGACAAAGTTTCTGTCCAGTTCAGTCCTGCCGCCCTTCAGTTCCAAAGAAACACACAAAGGCTTACATTAATTATAAACTGTTTGGCTGATGGTTTATTACCACCTAACTCTCTCTTAATTAACCCATTTCTATTAACCTATGCATCTCCATGTGGTTTTGGCTTACCATAGAATGCCCAGGCATGCTACCTTCCCGGTGGCTACATGCATCTCCCTGACGACTCTCTATGTGTTTCTCCTCCCAGCATCCCTAGTCTGGTAGCTCTGCCTATGCTTCCTGTCTGGGTTAATGGTCAACCAGCATTTATGCACCAACAATATATGTGAAACATATAGTCACGGCATACAGAAGGACATCCCCCATTATGGAAGAACCAAAAAGACATCAGCTCCAGGTGGCCTAGGCCAGATCCTTATCCACAGCAAGGTTTGCTTGTACTTCTAAGCAGCATGTTGGCAGCAAAGTAGATCCTGAAGAAAATGTCTTGAAGATGATTGCTTCAAAGCTGACCTTCCTAAGTACATGTTAAAGAAGACCATTGTCAAAGGCTGGTAATTTTCAGTGGCAGGCAACTATAACATCAGTGCTCTGCTGATTTGCTTTCCATTTGAAGGCAAACATGACGAATGTTTGGTATAAGAGTCTAGGCAGGTGTTTTAGCTGATCTGATCATTCAGGAACACCCCTTCATGTGATTTATAATAAACTACAATGTATGTATGTATGTATGTATGTATGTATGTATGTATGTATATATGTTTTGGTGATAAGAAAAAAAAAAAAAGAAGTGGCAGACACTTTTTCCAGACAAGTCAGAAAAGACACTATTTGAACAAAGTGGAAATTGCACTGCTTTAATGGCTGATCACAGCACTGATGTTCAAAGCTTCAGACCCTGTAATAGTCTTAAGTCCAGGTCCACAGTACCGAAAGGATGAAGAAAGCAAGGCTGATTTGAGGAAGCATGGGAAGTTAAAAGAAAATGAAAAGCTTTTATCAGGGAGAGCAAACTGGTGGGTTATGGGTTACCTGGCCATGTTTAGAGAAGAGTGACCATTGAATTAACCGCAACAGCCAAAGGGACTTGATAACGGGTGCTGTCACAGAATGCTGTCCTATTTTCCAAGCTATGATTCACAGATGCAAGAATACACACTGAAATGAAAATGCACCGAGGTGTAGCCAGCCATGGCTCACCATCTATGGATGAAAATGGAAATCTGGACTCCCTTTCTTTGTCTGGAGACACCAAATGAAGCCAAGAAAATTGGTATCTACTAAATGGAGAGTTACAGACCCAGTTGATGGCTTTTATGCTACAAAATCAGAGATGCTCAGCTTTATAAATAACCAGTGTCACAGACACACAAGATGTTTGACTACAACCCTTTGCCTTGTTGCTAATACACCAGTGAATGAGTCATTGCTATAAGGCTATTACAGTAATAAAACAATACCAGGCAGAAAAAGCTATCTGCTGACTTGAGCTCTTGTTTATTGGGAATATAAAAAAAGTAGTTAAAGCCCTGTAACAGTGCCCAAATTAATGGATGGCATAGAGATACAAGCACATATTTCAGGGTAAATGTATTATATAAACCTGTATCATTAAGAGTTTATTTAAGGTTTTACCTAAGTTGGAAGGCAGGCAGTTTCAACATAGAGATTCCTTTCCTTAGGAAATAAATTCCTAGTGTTTGCTTCCATTTAACTTCTTTCACATGTAAAGACTTCACATGAATGTAGAGATTCACACCTTATCAGGGGTGTCATGAATTACTTTGAAACTTGAGTGTCAGGAAAGGTATTTGGAATAAGAATTATGTTTTTTTCCCTGATGATGACTCCTCAGAGACTGAGCTGTCTGTGTGAAGTACTGAAACTTGGTTAAAACACAGTACCCCAAGGAAAGACTATTTAAGCTGTTGTGAACAGCTTAAATAATATACTGAAAAGTTTGAAGGTGACAGAGACTTGGGTTACAGTGAGGGTTTAGGGAATGCTTATGGCTTCTAAAAAGGCAATCTTGACATCTGTGAATATTTGTTTCAAACAAAAGCCTTATATGAGCATGCTGTAATTATCATGGGAACCTTTATAGAATTAAATGGTAAAATAATTTTAAGCACACTTTAGAGGAATCCTGTCTACGTATCTAGCTTCTCTGTTGCAGGAAAACATGGGAGGTGTCATGCACAGAGTTCTAAAACACCTTTGGGTGTTGTTTATGACATGGGTGAGACTTGTTAGCCTAGAGAGCATCATATCTCTTGCAGGTTTCCTAAGGCCTGGTGTGGAAAGGGGTATCATCTGTATGTTACAGTATTGGAATGAAGGGTTATTCACTTGGCCTGTGATTATCAGGGCTGGAAAGCAGTCATTGTAAAGACAGTTGGGCCATTGGCTCAGATAATTCTGTTCTTACTTGTGTTGTAGTTTACAATCTCTGGATGGTGTCACCCACCTCACATCCCCACATGGAAAGATGTAAAAGTGTTGATTGCCATTCTGAATGACTAAACTCACTCTCTCTCTCTCTCTCTCTCTCTCTCTCTCTCTCTCTCTCTCTCTCTCTCTCCAAGTAAC